TTTATTTTTATTCCGTTTGTCAGCCAATTAAAATTCTTAAGAGCATGTTCCAGCACATTATTCAAAAGTTTAAGTGACATTGGGCCGTTGTCTAAGCTGTAAATGATCTGAAATCAATAAATGAGACTGAATTTTTGACTTTCCGAGAAGCATATCAAAATCGGTCACAAACACCAAGACATTCTCTTCAAAGAAGATAAAATGCTGCTTCATGAGGATTCGTACAAGTCAGAAAAACATGTTTTGAGTTTAAGCAAGATACTTTTGCCAGATGTTGTACTTACTTGTAATCCCAATTATTTTTTCCATAACCTCCCATTTACATTTCGCTAATTAAAAGTTGTGATCATTTCTGGTCCTTTTGTCCCTTATTATAGGACGTTTACCATGCGAGATGCGCTATGCACCATTACGCAGATGATTTTAAGATTTTGACAATTTCTCCTAAGCTAACCTGTATCTTTTACCGATTAAAAAAGAAGATCAATGCTCATCATTCATCATATTATAACTAATAAAAATAGCCTTGGTCCATTCTCGGTCGTTTTCTTAGGTTGTTCAAAATTTCTATAAATATTTTAAGAACGATTTCAAAACGTCAAACTTTGGTTAACATGTGATTTTCATTAAAACCAATAAATTGTGGCTAATCCCATATAAACATTATATTTAAATTAAGAGATTAGGCGCAAAATTTCGGTCCAATGCTTTTTAAATGCATTCATTTTTTCGAATCCTGAAAAAACTAATATATATTTTTGAAAAATGTATACGCAGAATAAAAGCTTACATTATTACTGAGGGCCGAAAGTCCCTTAGATTAATAAAAAGTTTCTTTTGAATGGGATATTTAAAATTAATAATCAATTCTCACCCCTGTAACTAAAATAAACAGTATAGAAGTTTTCAGGGACTTTCGGCCCTCAATAATAATGTAATCTTTCATTCTGCGTTTAAATTTTTCAAAAATACTTATTAGTTCTCAGGATTCGAAAAAATGATTGCATTTAAAAAGCGTTGGACCGAAAGTTTGCGCCTACGCTCATAAAAAAGAAGTTTAATAAAGTTTCATTGTAAAATATTTTGCTATTTAGTAGTGGGGATAAAATTTAAAGAAACACACAAAAAAAAACAGAAGTACTCAATGTTTCTCAAAGAAAACAAGAAATAGACTTTTTGCCAGAAGAAAGAATGAATTTTGAAAATTAAGATAATATTTTATGAATGATATGAAAGATAATATTTTCTTTTCAATTAAGAATTGGTTGTTTAATAAGTGTTTGAATAAATTTTTTAGTTATGAGGTTTGCTAGTCACCATTTTAATTATAATTTTGATAAGACTGCATAACTGAAAGATTATAATTGGTTAATTAAATATCTAGCTTAAATCTAGTAGTTGTCAAATAAATTGTCAATTTATTATTTCTTGAAGTCACGAAACAATTATCCATTTAATTTAATAATTTTAATATATTTGTTTGATAAAATTTATTATTAAGAAATTGTAATTTATATTTACCTAAATTTAGAAGGGTACATTACTTCCAGCCAAGCATTAGTTCATATCCTTCACGTATATCATCCAATACAAGAAGGGTTTTAAAATCATAATATGCGTAATGGAGCATCGCGCAGCTCGCATGGTAAAGGTAAAAATTTAAGGTGGGATCCCTAGATCCAAGTAGTAGGACACTTCCTTCAATTAAGTATCGACTTCTCATTCGCATCCAGACCGCTCACGTAGGACATTGCTTAAGGAATATTGTGGTTCGGTAACTTTGGCAACTTCAATACAACGATTTATATACGTAGCTCTAGAGATATTTACATGCAAAAGTGACAAGTACTAAACATTTTGAGCTTGTGTAAATTATGAACTATCTACTATAAGGTAAAGATAGTGCTGTGAAATATAGCAACGGAAGTGAGAGTCAGTGCTGTGCAGGGTAGTGACGTACAATAGAGAAGTTTGGTATTTCGCCTTCTTCCATTCTTTCTACATGTCCTATCTAACGCAGCCGTCCTTTTTAAATGAATGTTATAATATCCGGATGCTGGTATATTTTGTATAGTTAAAAGTTTATCTTCTTCGCCAAATTCCATTTTCTTTTGTGCCCTTATATGTGTCGCAAGATTTTTCTTTCGAACGTGGCTAACAACGTTTCCTCTCTTTTAGTGAGTGTCCAGATTTCTGAGCCGTATGTGAGTACTGGTCCTATTAAGGTTTTGTATATTTGGCCTTTTGTTTTTCTTGCGACGTTATCTGATCTTAGTTGCCTAATTAAGCCATGGAAATATTTATTGGCAATAAATATTCGCCTCTTCACTTCCTCCGCAACGTTATTATCAGCCGTGACTAGGGATCCCAAGTATATAAAGATTTTACCCGCTCAATGTTGTATTCTCCTATTGTTATATTTTGTGGCTGCCTTATTTATGCGTTTTTACTTACCTGTATATATTTTGTTTTGGTCTGGTTGATTTTAAGACCACTATTTTGTGCAGCTCGTTCTATTTGGTTTTATGCCTCCATCATTTCTCTTTTTGATCTTGCGATTATGTCAACATCATCTGCAAATGCTAGTATTTGCATGCTTTCATTAGTGATTGTTCCTCGTATATGACTGTTGTGTCCCTCAGTATTTTCTCGAGTACCATGTTGAACAAGATGCATGATAGAGCATCTCCCTGGCGTAGTCCCTTTTTCACATTTATTGTTTCCGTTAATTCATTTTGTATCCGGATTTTACATTCTACTTTAAGAGATTCTATTAGTTTTATTAGTTGTGTTGGTATATTAAATTCTTTCATTGAATTTTATTAAGAATTCTCGGTTTATATTGTTATATGCGCTTTCAAAGTCTATGAAGAGATGATGTGTGTCGATGTTATATTCACTTGTTTTTTCGAGGATCTGGTTTTGGCGTTTTGTCGCAGAACAAATATCTGGTCTATTGTTGACTTCTGTCTACAGAAGCCACTTTGGTATTTGCCAACTATTTTTTCAGCGTGTGGTCTAAGTCTTTCATACATGACGTTGGACATTATTTTGTATACTGTGATTCCACGGTAGTTTCCATATTCTAAGTGATTTCCTTTTTTATGTAATGGTAACATAATACCGCTATTCCACTCTGCCGGTAGCTTTTTATTCAACCATATCTTTGTTATCAATTCATGTATTGTTTTTTGTAGTGCGTCATCTATTTCCTCTAGTAACTGCGATGCTATTTGATCCGATCCCGGTGCTTTACTGTACTTTAATTTGTCTACTGCTGTTCTAATCTCGGCTTCTGTTGGTGGAGTCTTTTCTCTGTTGTCTGCATGGTCTAATGTCAGGGTTCGTCTCTCTCCGATCTCCTTCAAGCTTTTCCGTAAAATGTTCTATCCATCTACTTAGTATATTTTGCTGTTCTGTTGATATATTACCTTCCTTATCTCTACACATCGTTGTTCTCGGTTTGAAGTCTTTTCTTCTTTTGTTGTTTCTGATAAAATTTTCTTGTCTCTGTTGATTTACTTGAAGTTCTTTGTTCATATATTCTCTCTTTTTTCTTCGGTGAGTTTTCTTTTCTTCTTGGCGTAGTTGTTTATATTCTTGTTCTGCTTGTCGGGTTCTGTGCCCCTGTTCCATCAGTAAATATGTTCTGTTTTTTTCTGTCTGTTAAAATCTGACATTCTTCGTCAAACCAGTCATTCGTTCTTGTTCTTTATTCTCTACCTTCTATGTCTAGTACTTCTTTAGCTGCCTCTTTTATGATGTCTCTGCATTATTCCTACTCCTTATTTAGGTTTTTATGTGTTAGTCTGTTTTCTAGTTTGTTGTTTATCTTTTCTTTATACTCTTTATTTTTGTTAGTTTCTTTAAGTCCTTCTACTTTATATCGTTCATGTTTAGGGCCTCTTTCCTTTTTGATGTTTGAAATTCTAGCCCTTACCCTACTTCCGACCAGGTAGTGATCAGAATCCGCATTTGTCCCCCTTCTGGTGCGAACGTTTATTATATTCGATTGGTGTCTCGAGTCTACAATGACATGATCTTTCATATTTACTGTAAACCCATATGGGGATTTCCAGGTACCTTTGTGTATATCTTTGCGAGCGAAGTATGTGCTGGCAACAGACTGGGCCTATCTACTGTAGTCTGGAATTGCTGTCCTCTTCCAACTTTGGCGTTTAGGTCTTCATAGATTATTTTTATATCATTTTTTAGGCATAACTGATATGCGGACTTTAATTCATCATAAAACTCTTCTTTAATTTCATCTTTTTTTTCTTCTGTCAGGGCATGTGCATTAATAAGACTGTAGTTAAAGAAACGACCTTTAACTCTTAAAATGCACGTTCTTGGACTATTGGCTCTGAAATCTCTTATAGTATACTTTAGTTTCTTGTTTACTATGAATCCTGTGCCCAAGAGGTGATCTTTAGGATCGCAGCTGTAGGAAATCGTCTGGCTTCTTTTTTCCATTACATTGTTTCCAACTCACCTCATTTATGTTTATTTTGTATCTATCTAGTTCATTTAGGAGACTTTGGAGAGCTCCCAATCCATATAAGGTTCGAATATTCCATGTCGCAATCCTCAAATCTTCTTCCTTTTTCTCGCACAGTCGTCATCGTTTGATCAGTCCGGATTTTCTTCCTTAAACGTTCATAACTCATAGTTTTTCTATGGGAAAGTAGTTAACCTTCAGCCCAACCCCCTATTCGTCGGAGAAACAAGGCTCCCTTCTTCGTCAGCCCTGACCCTACCTTTCACTGGGGGTTGGTTACTCAATCTCCAGTGGGGTTGCTCAGGTTACCGGCGTGTATGAACTTGGAGGTGAAGGTAGGAATTGAGTAGGATAGGCTAAGTGATGCCAACAGGATACGGCATCATGTATTGCGCCTCATTACCCCCTTTACACAACTTTTTCATGGATAATATCCTTTAAATCATCAACAAAAACGAGGTTTTAATAATTATGATAAAAAATTGCTACAGTATAGAGTATAAATATATGTATATTTTCATATTACGGTATAATATTTTCTATATATAACTATAAAACATTCAACACGGCATTTTTTTGAATTCGATTGTTTACCAGAGGTTTGATAACTTTGTTTTGTTTTTAATAAAAAAGATAGTTATGTCTTTGTAAGTTAAGGAATATCTTCCGAACATCCTTTAGCATCTTCATTAATCTGTAAAAACATAATCTTGTAAATCAACGGTCCAACAACTCCTGCAAGAAGTGGTCCTGCCCAGTATACCTAAACAAAACAATAACCTATGTTAAATATTTAGCCTTTGCGTAACTTGTTTGCATAGAAATCGGCCCACTTTAAACTTTTGACTTAAACTGAAATTATTACTCGGATCAAAAAAACGGGATATACTGTTTGAAAGATAATTTTTTTCCTTACATGACGCATCAACCACGCAGGTTATTAGCATGTATGGATTGTGATACAAAGTTAGAACTTTTTTTTTTTTTAATGGCATTGACATTAGTCATTCAGCCAGTTGCAATAGATTCTCCAATCAGACAAATGCACAACTCTATCCCTAATCGAAAACTAACGGATAATTAATAGAAGAATATACGACAAGGAAACTTACAGGGCACTTGCTTCTCGTCTAGGGGCCCATCAAGACATTCTTAGTAGACAAACAAAACTGGATCACGGATAAGGTGTTATAACATTTAGGGTAAACAAAGGATACAAATCTAAATTTTCACACGATCATGAAAAATTTCATGCTCGAGTACCAATTCTATAGAACCATGCATGTGTCTGACAAGAAATCTATAATGATATTATATATATTTTGTGAGCCTGTCGCCAGTAGCGACTGAATATTGAATGGTGCATACATATTAAATTCGATTAATTTTTTGTAGAGAGAGTTTGAATGCTGTTGAAACTTAGGGCATTCAAAAAAGATGTGATCAAGATCACCCAGTTTTCCGCAATGTTTGCAATTATCATCTTAAATCACATTTTTTTATATAAATGACTTGGATAACACGCATGTCCAAAGCGTAGTCTATTTATGGTGGTTATATATTTACGTGGAGATGTAAAATTCTTAAACCAAGTAGTTTGTGGAATAACTGGTTGTAAAGTGGTGTATCTTCTTTGGTTTGTAAGGCAGTAAAGATTCCATTGATCTTTCCATGTCGCTAGCTGGTTTTTTTTTTAAATATCCTAATGTCATCTGATACACATAAAGAATATGGCAATAAAGTGCCTGATATTATACTAGTTTTAGCTAAGTAATCTACATATTCATTATCTTTGAGTCCAATATGTGCCTTAACCCAAATAAATTTTATATTAAAGCCAGAGTCTACTAAGTGCTTTAATTGATCTTTTATTAGAAAAATATAAGGATTACTAAATGTTTTGGACAAAAAAGTGTTTTTTTATGTTCTGTAGAACTGAAAGGCAGTCTGAAAGAATTAACGATTTTTTAATATAAGAGTTTTTAACATATTTCAAAGCTTCGAGTATAGCCAATGATTCCGCCGAGAAAATTGAAAACTCCTTGGAAAGTTTGTACTTAAATTCAGAACCTCCTGAGGGTAGAAAATAGGCACAGCCAGTCCCTTCTATTGATTTGGATGCGTCCGTGTATATAACTGTGGCATCACTATAACAGTTGAAAACAGATCTCAGAATATTGTTGCTCAATTTGTTGTTGTGACTATATGTGGGTATTATAACTTCAGCTTTATGGAAGAGAGCAAAGAAGTCTAAATTTTTTTCCACTTTGGCCAAATTTTTTGAAAAAATTGAATTGTTCTGTAAAGCAGTGCACAAAGGTGGAGACGGCTTCTTAATCCAATATTTATGAGTGAGATCTGATTCGTTAAGTTGACGTATACTGGAAAATAATTTGGGATATGTTGAGTGGGCTTTGAGCCATTTTTCGCTTAATAAATTTCTTCTAATCGAAAGAGGAGGTTCATAAGCTTCAACATGTAGTGGTTGTATAGGGGTAGATCTCATAGCACCTAAACAGACCCTTAAGACAGAATTTTGAAAAATGTCAATTTTTCTTAGAAGATTTCTAGATGCAGAACCGTAAAGAGTAAGTAGCACCATAATCTATAATGGATCGTATATAAGCTCTGTAAAACAATAAGGATGTTTCAACATCGCAACCCCACCACACTTTGGTTGTCATTCTAAGAAAATTACTACCTTTGTTGCATCTATCCAGCATATATTGTATGTGTTGTTTCCAAGTCAATTTTTTATCTAGTATAAGGCCCAGATATGTGATATGGTTTTTGAATGTAAAATATTGATTATCAAGAAGTATATTTTGATTTGGAGGAAGGTTGTGTCTTCTTGTGAAGACAGATACTGCTGATTTGTCAATTGATAAATTTAAGCCGTTCTCTAAGTACCATGGGAAAAGAGAACTACATACTCTACCTAGGTTTTGCATACCGTTTTCATATTTCTTACTTTCTGTATAGATACAAAAGTCATCTGCATATTGTATTATTTTAAATGGGATGTTGTTTATTTGCATATTATGTATGTCAGACGTGTACATATTAAATAAAATTGGCGATAATACCGAGCCTTGTGGTATGCCGTGATAGTTGTGTCTAGGTCCTATTAGCTTGTTATTATGGTCTCTGACTTAGATTACCCTGTCTGTATAGAAACTGATAATTGTGTTAACGAACGCAATTGGCAAATGAAAGAAATTTACCATTTTGAATTTCAATATTGACAAACAAACTGATTCATATGCTCCTTCAATATCCAAGAATAGGGCTGCTAAATAGTTATTCCTAGTTAAGTTGTTCTGTACATCAACAACATGTGTTGTTAAAGCGTCTTGAGTTCCAAAACCTCTTTTGTAGCCAAACTGGTTTACTGGTAATAAATTCTCTTTTTGTATCCACCAATCTAATCTAAATTTTATAAGCCTTTCTAGGGTTTTGAATACGCACGAGAGAAAGGATATTGGTCTATATGAACTCACAATATTTGGATCCTTTCCGGGTTTAAGGATAGGAACGACTAAAATATTTTTGAAGGACTCGATAACTATGTTATTTTGGATGATATCATTGAAGATATGTAAAAGATGGTTTTTTGCAACCGTTGGTAGGTTGATTAACATGAGGTATTTTACATGATCGATTCCAGGAGAAGTATTAATGTGGTTTTTAAGGGCGAAGTCTAGTTCAGTTTTAGTAAAAGGTTTTAATAGAAAGTGATTATTTGAATGATGACTTTGTGTAGGCTGTGTAGGCGAATGTTGAACCCATGGAGGAGATACTCTATTAAAGAAGTCTTCTAATAAAGTATCATTGAAGGGTTTTGTACTATTATGTGAAAATTAGAACTTAACAATAGAATATTAACCATAGCAATACATTATTAGAAATAAACCTAGATCTATACAAAGTAAAATATTATATTTTTGATTACAGCTTGCAGTCTTTGAGAAAGGCGAAAATATTTTTAGTATCACTGTCTTTTCCAAGAGCACTATTTAATGTAGATGGCATGTTATACATTTTGCGTTACACGTAATACTTAGGGCACTGCAATAAACAATGTTTGATTGTTAAGACATTTACTTTTACACATGTCACACATAGCTTTATCAGCATGTTTGTAGTAGGTGCAGTAGGTAGTCGTGTGTTAACCGAGTATGACAAATCCGGAGGCGAATGAAGGTTACTTATTCTCTTCTATTGTTAAATTTTGGAAATTGTTGATGATTAATATATGATCATACAGCTTGCTTAGGGAGTTCTTCCATGTATCATGCCATATTGAACTAATATTTTCTTTAAAGAATGCTTTCAGGTAGGTTTGAAGAGATTTCGTATTCTCTTCTGCGTTTGGGTTAGTAGGTGCATTTTTTGCTATTTTGTTACAACCTCGTTTCCTTCAATTCCATTATGTGATGGTACCCATATAAAATTAACTTAATGTTTATATTTTCTACATGTTCTACTTCCTTTTTAATGAGAAGAAGTAGTGGATGATTACAGTAGAGTTGGTTTAATGCCATTATTGAGCTGAGAGAATCTGTAATAATATTTCTCTTTTTATTTTTGTTACCTATCAGTAGTAGTGCTTCTTAGTACCGCATACAATTCAGCAGACAACGTTGTTGTATGTGAGGGTAATTTGTAAGCCTCTGTATAATCTGATGAGTAGACTGCTACCCCAGTTTCCTCTTTGTTTTTGGAGGCATCAGTGTAAACTTTGAAACACCTACGATATTTTTAAAAAATTCTTGATTAATTTGACTTGCTGGCGTTTCTGATTTGTTTAGGCCCAATAAGCTGGTGTCAGTAGAGGGAAGTCGAATTGTCCAACCAAGAAGGAGGGGTTTGAATTAAGGAGATATCGTATAATTAAGCCGTAGTCGAGTTTGGAACGTACTAGGGCCTTGTAGATATGTAGTAATGTAGAAGAGTCGACGCCCCATTTTTTGTTTGCAAGTGATCGTAACAAATTTATTCCAGGCTGACACGTCTTTTCAAGCTAATTTTTTGTCAAAGATCATACCAAGGAATCTAACTTCGTCTACATATTTAAGCTGTCCTCCACTTAAATATTAGTTCTTCGGTTGTATTTGTTGACTTTTCGTTAAACATACTGCTTTGGTTTTGAGGGTATTGAATTGAATACCACTTGTGAATGAACATTCTTCAATAAGATTTATGGTTTTTTTAACATGGTTATGGATGGTTGTTAGGTTCTTTCCTATACAAAGTATAACGAAATCATCGGCATATTGTTTAATTTTTGAGGTAATATAATTCATAACTACAAGAAATAGAGTAGTGCTAAGGTTCAAGACCTGTATTATACCATTTTCTTGATTTTTTTTGCAGAAATATACGCCGTCTACTTTGACTTGAAATTGTCTATTTTTTAATAAGTTTGATATGTATTTGAATATGTATATTATTTTACCTCTTATTTTCCATTCGCTGAGCGTTTTTAAAGTTTAATATTTCTATACTGAATCGTAGGCTTTACTAATGTGAAAAATATTCCAATACAAAATCCACAAGGAATCTACATTTCTGTTGTTGGCTGTATTCCATATATTAAAAAAATTTATCAAGAATCCTTTATAAAAGGTATATATTTAAAAACCCAATCGGGCTATGTTACACAAAACGTTTTCGGAATCCATATTCCATCATCAGTGTCTAGGTGTACGCTACAGTAGAGGATTATTACTGTTGAATGAGTTTTCCAGAAAGAAAATTTTC